GAGAACCCTGTCTCAGTGACTATTCACGAAAGACTCAATCATGAGTCGAACTCAAACCCTATCTAGGATCGAGTCGCGAATAAGGCTAAGAGCCGTGTATTGCATTGGGACAAGTTGGTCCAAGGCCTCAAGTTTTTGGATCAGACGGCGCAGGACAAGTTGATCCTACACATTGATGACATACGCATCATCACTTGGTGGGTGGATGCATCATTTGCAGTCCATCCTGATTACCGTTCCCATACAGGAGGAGTCGTGTCCTTTGGGAGTGGCGCGGTGCTGTCTGTGTCTGCGAAACAGAAATTGAATTCGAGGAGCAGCACGGAAGCGGAATTGATTGGAGCTGACGATGTCATGTCGCCCATGTTGTGGGCAAAGTTGTTCCTAGAAGAGCAGGGGATCGTTGTGAAGGACAACATCCTCATGCAGGACAACAAAAGCACGATCATCCTTGCAGAGAATGGCAAAGGCAGTTCGGGCAAAAAGGCTCGGGCCATCAACATTCGTTTCTTTTTCATTCATGATCAGATTGGAAAAGGAAACCTCAGAGTTGTGTACTGCCCAACATTGGAGATGCGTGGAGACTTAATCATCTAGTCCGGTTCGCATGCAAATTCATCATGCAAGGAACCAAGGGAGTTTTAGGTCTAAAGTGTTACGGGGGTCCTTATATCCAATTCAATCACAAGAATTGCTATGCACCACCAGAAAATCCTCACTTTTGCTTTTCAGCTTAATCTAAAACCAAATTACTCCCCAATAAGCTGCAGTATTACTAGCAATCAACAACAACACAGAGTAGTCTTGATGATACATGTAGCTACGGTAGCTAGCTAGCTAGACGTTGTTGTGATATATATATAGATTACTATGGAATTACACTAGTAGAGGGGTAAATGACTAAGTGATGCCAGCTTGAAGGTAATGTGGGAATGGATCAAGGGGTGCATTGAAGAGGCGGGGTTGGAAGAGGCCAGCCAGAGGGTCTGCAGGGGTAGTTCCTGATGAGTAGAGTGTAGAGGAAGCAGTGGCAATGGATCTGAGGATGTGGTTCCCAAGGTGAGTGGACAAATTGAGTGCCAGTGAATGGTGAGCCCACCTGGATGGGGAGAGTGGGGTGATTGTGGTATCCAGGTTGGGGGAGGGGTGTAGTGCTTGTCTGACAGTGGAAGAAGACCAGCAGGAGCAGATTGTAGTTGGGTATAGGCAGTGAAGCTATGAGGTGATTGTTGTTGTCTTGATGGCGTGGCCTCTGATGCCGTTCGTCAACTGCGGTGCTCTGGTGCTGCGCACCGCGAGCTGTGGAGCAACGAATCGAATGAATCGAATCATTCGAATCACAATCGATTTAAATCGAATCAATTCGAATCGATTGATCATTCGACTGATTCGATTCGAATAATTCGACTTTCATGGAGCATGTGAGCGTTCCGACTGACGTACCGGTCCAGGCGACAAGCAAAGGAAAAGCGCTGAGCAAACGACACAGCGCTCTCTCCAGACCCTCATCATTGTCCAGTTCGTCGCATCTTTATATCTTTTAAAAAGGTGATCCCTCATCTTTTACTCTCCAACCATGATGCCTCTTGTTGCTTTGCTGTTACTGCTCCTGGTTTCCTACCATTCTGATTTGGTCACAGCTTTTACGGCGACCTCTGTGCGATATGATGCAAAGCCGGTTCCACTACTGGCGCCACGGCCCTCTTTCCCTGCCACAAGATTGTATGCGGAAGGATCCACCGACAGCAACAGCAACAGTACTGGGACTCCAACGACAACCTTTGAAAGAAACTCCACTAGTGACGATTATCTCTCGTGGAATCACCTATTGTTATAGCTGATTTGCTAGCCATTGCGATTGCGACGCAGCTGTTGGGACTCACCGATATCCTGAACGATCCAACCTTTTGGAACAATGGTGGATGGATCCAACCGGTAACTTCCACGGGAGTATCCAACACCTTGCCGGTTCTCGTGCAACGATTCAGCGTCACTGGAATTGCATGGCTGGGTTCCGCCTTTTCTAGTACAGATGGATTGAATTACAAGGCAGTGGCATCACCGGAAGAGTCCCTCCAAACCGTGGCCAAATTGCTGGTCCCATTTTCTTTGGCGCTGGTGCTACTGGAAGGAGTGCTTGCGGTGACTTTGTATTCGGGTGGTTCCGTCGGACTGGATGAAGCCACGCAAATTCTGGCGAATGCCTTTCAACTGTGGTATTTTTCCGCCATTGCATTGGTGGCAGGAAGATATGTGGTCAGTCGACTCCCGTTCTATTATTAGGAAAAAGGGAACATCAAGTAAATATGCGTGATGTGAGGACCGATACAGATCATTATTTGGGCATCAAGAGAATCCTGGAACGGGTGCCTCCGAGAGGTACGATGTATGCCATCTGCTAGAGATCCGTCACATCTGTGGCACAAGGATGGCTGGTTTCTTAAAACCAGGGAGATAAGCGTGGAAAAATTTTCCACGTTTTCCAGGCCCATGGATAAAACCTCATGTTGCTTGTATCAAGGGCGTTCTCCCCTCTCGTGATGGATTCTCTGCATGGGCTGGCATCGCGTTCGGCATTCGTCCATCTAAATTTGTCACAACAGAAGCGTCAGATTGCTTTCATGTCCCAAGGGCGTTCTCCCCTCTCGTCCATCATGGATCTTGAATTTATCCACATTTTTGTCCCAAAACGTGTCCGTTTTTCATTACGTTGTATGTCTCTTGTACTGGTGGTACCCGACGACCGTGGAGTGCATCCGTTGGCACTACTGTACCCGAAAGTTTGGTGGAGCGTGGAAGTCAAAGGCTTCGTTCGATGTGCGGTAGGATGGAAGTCGGATGCCTTGTTTCACACAAAGCAACCAATAAGCACCATGAAAACCGATTGGGTCTGCGATCTTTAT